TATATAATTCCAGTTTTCAATATTCTTTAACACAGACACTATGTCAAAACCAAATGTTAAACATTTGGAAAGAACATCAAGTTCTGGGAATAAACAGATAAGGTTCTTTTCCAATCTCTGACATATTTCAAAGTAGCTGAACTGCCATCTCTGGTTCTCACTCTAGTAAGTAGTACATGCCCAAAATTTCCACACTAAATTATTTAAGGTGTGTACATAATTTTCAAGTCAGTTGTCTTTTAACACTGTTTTGTTAAGGTGTCACTTTACATTCAGTCAGAATTAGCATTCCAACAATAATAAATGTCACTCTCACTTGTACACTTGTACAGCAACCACCCAGTTTGTGGAAAGTGACTAAATAACTCATATGATTCTCACAGCCTATACCCATCATGAAACCCAGACTGGGTTTCAGAGCAATAGGTTCATACTTGGAGGCCCACAACAGAAGTGATGTTCCTCACACAGATCATATCCATGATTGTTTCTAAAATCAGACCTGAGTAATATCTCATTTCTCTCATGTGAAAGCATTACAGTATGCCATAATAAATGCAAAGCTGGCTGTGATTGGCCAGTTTATGTAAGGTTATGTACAAGTACATTATCTGACAGATCATCACAATTTCTTCACCGCAAAACTCCAACGTTGGGACGGAGAGTTGGAATCACATCGCTCAACTGTCAAACCTCGAGTCTTGTAGTCTTTAGAGTCAATGCACAAACTCAGTCGAATGTGCTTCACCAAGCCATCTGTCTCTACCTGGTGCCACTTCTGCAAGAAAAAATGTAGCAAACACAAAAATGATGCCAAACACCTGACTGATTGACTGACTGGTAACGGAACCATTACAAACATCAAAGCCTCAGACTAGAGACAATTCCAGTTCACATCCCCACTATTTCCCAAACACCCATGTTATTCTCCCATCTCTGTTTCGGTCTTCTGAGTGACTGCTTTCCAAGACATTTTTGCACCAACATTTTGTCTTCCCATTTGACCTAACTATTCAATACATAAACAAACTACCAGATTTGATAACCCTAATGAATCTAGATGATCTGCACAATTAAGAATTAAACTGCGTATACAAGGCAATTCTAGGCCAGAGAAATAACAAATACACAAAGGAAAAATAAAACAGAACCAAATGGAATAAAAATTATACAAATTCAGTGCTCAAAATTTCAATAAAGACGTGCAAAGTTGCAAAACAGTGTAATTGTTGCTACAACTCCAGAAAGCCATCCCACAGAACACAAGATGAAAGCTTAAAATTTTCACAACTTACTGCGATGGTAAAGTAATGTCTTATGAAACTTACTGTCAGAAATGTAACATTTTTAAACCATTTACATTTATTTAAACCATGCCTCCCCTCCAACTTTTTCAATTTAAGAGTATATAGCACAAATATAATTTTCTAGTGTCAGGTAAATGCTACACAGAAAGAATTAAACACAGGCAACTGAACTAATGAGTACCTGATTATCTGAATTGTCACAGAATCTCATCATCAGCGGTGTTCCAACCTGTTGCTCAGATAATGAGAGGCACACGTCATGGTGTTTGATGTGGTTATTTGTTAACCACCATTCCTGAAACAAATAAACAAAGTATATGATTTCATATTTTGCACACAAGTCATTGAGATTTCCTCTCAACCAGCAGTAACACAACTGATTCGCATTCAAAAGTACCCAGGTCAAAATCCAGACGTATTCATCCTACAGTTATTTTTGTAGTTTTACTCAGACCCTCCACTAGTTAACCCCCAAAGTTAAAATTTGGTTGCCATCCCATTGCATAGGGATTTAAATTCCATATTCCTGTCCCATAAAAGTTAAAATATGTCATGACTTTATCTCTCCCTGCTAATAATTTACAATGATCCTACCATATCTCATTTCATGACACATAATCTCAGAAGGAGATTAAGCATTGTAACATAGCCAACTAACCAACCAAATAAGTTTTTATCATGCCAGTCAGTAACTTGAGAGTTCACCATGTTTATGCTACTAGCATGGGACAGAGCAAGAAAATCACCTGGTTGCCACCACTGTTGTGGCACAGGAAAATACCCAGTGTATTGTCCACCAGATGTCCCAATGTATCAAGACACATGTTTCCCTGTCGCATCACACTCATCATCACAGATGAGGCAGGCATCTTGAGCTGCTTCAGTTGTGGATACACATTGTCCAAGTACCACTTGAATGACTTGCAGTGCAGGCGTTTCTTCAGTGCCAGTCGGTCATCAATACTGGAAACACGTCAGTTTTTGTAAAATAAATACACATGTCTATGAAAGTATACATGTCACAAAGCCAAAAATATGGATAATATTAACAATAAATTACAAGAATGTTATATAAATTGGCCAAAACACAAAATAAACACTGTGGTTTAAAATTCCAGACTTTGGCTGGTCCTTAATGATACCGCATAAAGCACTTTGGTCAAGAATGTAATAAGGGATCAGAGAATTAAATAATTTATGATTTAAGAAACTAGGTTTCAGAATCCATAAAATTTGTATGGAAAATACGATATTTAAACATGTTAGTAATTGAATGTCAACAATTAACGAAGTCCTAATATAAGAGCTGTCATAAATAACTAGCATAACTCCATGGAGCAGAGGTATTCATTAGATGTTATTAGCAATTCAGTTAGTTAAGAAATTCCCTGCCTTTCATCAAACCCTAAGGCTCACTACCATGTCCACAATGAAATCCACAAACAGTTGTCAACATACATCTTAAAATAAATATTAATGAAGAACAGTGCAGCAAACTAAACTACTGAATTACATGTGAACTGAAATGCAAAATAAACAGAGACTTCTTGTGTATGATCTTACAAAAATTGACTGGCTGATCACTAATATTGTTCATCTTCAACAATAATTTCAGAATTTGACTGACTGGCTGGTTTTGAATGTAATGGCAAATTTTGGATTTTGACTGTACAGTAAGGCCTATGCAGGAAGAAATATAACATGTGAGTATTTGCTACTTCATTCACGTGCTGTATAAGTTATCAGTTTCTAACGACTCACTTGCCAAATGGAATGTGTTTTGCTAGAGGCACAGCTGCATAGTAATACTCTTTGTACTCATCCATCCAAACTTCAGCAGCACGACGTGTGTTGCGAGCAAATACATTTCCACTTCCTCCAGGGAATGTGTATGGATGTCTCTTTCTGAACACATGCCCCACACGACTGCAAGGGATGATCTCCAAACTTCCACCACACTGCCATACCCGGAATGAGATCTCTGAGGTAAGCAGTTCAAAATTATGAAGTTCTGTTTCATATAAATAATTACTTACACATTTTCACCTTCTAAATTTGTTTTATTCTCTGCTCATATAAATTTTATTAATCAGCTGTAAGCACACTTTCATGAGATCACTTTCTCAGGGGCTTAAGTGAAAGCATTTAAGGTTTTAAAATGCAGAAATGTTTAACAAAATGTATTAAGGGCAAACTAATAATTATTAAATCCTCTTGAAAGAATTATCAGTAATTCCTATGACATTTATGCACACAAAGATCAATATAGAAATTTTATAAAAAATATTCACATACAATTCCATAATATTTAGGAATATCAAAATTTACACACTAAATTCTGTGAAACAGATTTATTAAACAGATGTTAGAAATAATGACATTCAGGTTCACAATAGCTAACAAGTGAAACAAAATATAAACCATTGCTGTAACATTCCATTAGTTCAGTAAAGTTTGAATGAAAGTGATTTTGTTATCGTTATTATTGTTTTGAAATGATTTACACTTTCTTAACTTCTAAATTATTTTTTCAGTTTCCATTTATTTATGACAACAGTAAATACTGAAGTACAGTACAGACAATATGAATCTTGACAATTTCTCTGCATACCCACCTCAGAAACTATATTCTGTGCTGGAATACACATAATATTCTCATGTGTTTTTTGCAACATACATTTACAGGCATTAAATCTGCCCTGCTGGATAGTTCCCACTTAATCCATAATCTTGTTATCACTGCTCACAGATATTCAAAACATGTTTTTTGAACAGCACAACCTGCACATCAAATTTCATCCAAATCTGTATCCTGATTCTCAGAGTTAAACTGACTGGACAGATGGACGGACAGTAGACCCATAATGCCCTTAATGTATCCTTGCTATGCAGTTTGTGCAAAGAATGCATAATTATAGATGATGAAAGAGAAGGAATAAAATCAATCAATTAACAAATCTGTTTATCTATCTATGAAAACTGAATGTCTATAACTCTTGAGTCTCCAAACAAAATGTTAAAGTAACTGAAAACAGTAGCAGGATATGACTAAATTGAAAACCTGTAGTGAAACAAAACATCCTACACCCCAGTAAATTCATTATTCACAATCACCTTACCATTCTACCATACCATATAATCTATGCAGTCAATAAATTATCATTAAATAATGACAATGGCTGTCTGAAACGCTGTAAACTTATACCAGACTACATAGCACTACAATCCAGAAGACAGCCATCTTCATACTCACTGCCATGAGAACCTCAAACCCTACTTATCATTAAATAAATAAACATGTGTCATTAGTACTTCAGAGATCAAACAATAATGCACATGCTTCATCAGTGGAAACTCACCAAGATTTTCACCTCCCCAGACATCCATCATCATATCGTACTTCCCGAGCTTCTCAAAGTACAGCTTGTCAATCACAAACAGACCGCCTGCAATCATTGGTGTCCTGATGACAAGAAACAAACTCATAAAGGAAATGTGTAGACTGATTGATTGGTAAATGGATTTCAGATAAACTCAACTGCACTAGTAATTTGTAATCATCAACATACTAAACAAATCAAACCAAAATTTAAAAATTACCCTTAAAACATAAATTTAAACTAAATTTTTGGTAATGCCATCTTGTCCAAACCAAATGCAATGGTTATATGACCATGACTCGAGTAATACTTGTAAAGATTAAGGCTTAATACTGGATGGAAAGATGATATTTGTTCCATTAGATCTTTTACATTTATCTGAACAAAACTTATTACATTCTGATATACAAAAATATCACAAGTAAAATATAAGAGTGTGAGGATTATGCATTCTACAGAAACAAGCTATAGGGCATGATTCAGTATTAGTGATGTTGAGTTCAGAATTTAATGGGGAATATTTGACTGTTGGCACTAAAGATAAAATACCAACTCTTGTAATGCAACTTTCTGATGGCACTATACCTGATTGCTGCTGTTGGATCCTTCTTGCGTTGTGCCCTCTCCTCCCCACTTAGATACTCCCACTTAAAAACAAGATTCCAATCAAAACCACCCCTCAAGTCTGCTGAAGCTCCAATGTACTCGAAGGTGTCCATGCTTATCACATCAATAACTGGAGACACAACACGAGTCTTGTCCTGGACAGACACAGAGCACGTGTTACAGGGGCAGTACTGCTGCTTGTGCAGCATTACCCATCCAATTTACATTTTTTCACAGAAGTGTTTCATGTGAAAATTTTCCACATATACATTTTGTCTTATTAATAGGTCTGCCACTTATACTTATAGATGTTAAAGATCTGGCAAAAATTAAGTTCTACAGAACAAAACAAAAGACAGTAAATACAGCCTCTGAAATTAACACAAACTAACATATTTTAACAAGAGAGCTTCAATTATAAACATATGTTATTTCAATAATATTACTTACAAATGTCAATGCTGTGATTCAGATTAACACAATTTGAAGAAACCAAATCCTGGATGAGTTATACTGAAAGGTGAAAGAAATTTAATAGCCTGTAATAAATAATTTGCTTTTCTTTAATAATTTAAATTTTTAATAGTTGTAACTGAAATGTACCTAATGAAATAACTACATAAATAATTAAAATTATATAATACAAAATAAGTACCGTATGAATGTAAATTATTCAGTGTTTATTCACATACATGAAAAACAATAAACAAGCAGACTGACTGATAGAAAGGAGAGTCAACAGACTATTGACCAAGACAACCATAAGTGATAGGTAAAATTAATTTGGGAATGGTAATTGGTGTTTTTTTGGTATTCAGAAATTAGATCTTAATTTACTGTTGTAAGAAACAAAGAAATTATGATGGAATGATACATTTTACCATAAAGAAGATTTTGTTTGGAAGTGCAGGAGAAATTGGAAAGGACATGTCTGAATAATGAGCTCTGATATAATTACCCCAAAATTAATGAAATATGAACCCAGAGGAAGAAGACAATTATCACAACGTCTACAAAGTAGGAAAGATTTTATACTGCAATATGATAATCAGCCAGTTAGTCTGGTCTTGAAGACACAGCCCAGTGTTTGTCACTCCTGTACCTCTGCTACACGCTCCAGCAGCGGCTCCAGCCAGCCAACATTGCATTCACAGTGGCTGTCCAGGAAAGTAAGTACTGGAGCTGTTGCTGCATCTGCTCCTCGCACTCGGGAGCGCATCAGACCTGCAGACAACATGCAATCAAGACCAAGACAAAGACTGCACATGTATGAACATCTTCTCGAGTTTCGTTTGTTTGTTGCAGTTCTTCATATATATCGAATTATTTTACAAATTGTGACGGAACTGCAATTATACAAGTATTATCCTGTGTAAGTTTTATTCATTTTAATACAAAGACAGCACCCAAACATAACACTTAAATTACATATACTTTTAATACCACCTCAGAGGTGCATATGCCCACTCTTCCTATTCTGAGTATCATCCATTATGTTCACAAATGTCCACCACTGCCCTATACTAAACCTGTTCTCCTGAGGTTTACAATAAATATTCTGTATGAATTTCTTGTTTCCTCTATGTATGGTATAAATCAAACCTGTCCAATCCTTCTTGATTTATATACCACAACAAAAGAAGGTGGAAAGCATAAACTGTGTATCCCCTCATTATGTAATTTTCTCCATTCTCCTGTTATTTAATTACCTTGAGGTGTGAATATTCTAATCAGCCTGCTTTCAAATATACTCATTATTAGTTAAGTCCTTAGAATGAGATACAATGAAAAACTCAATGTGAGACTTCATATCCCTGATGATGGAGGCAACAAGAACCCTTGAAATGTCAGTAAACTTTTATACCAGCCTACATAGCGCAACATCCCAAAAGACAGTCTTGAAACATTCAAGTTAATCCAAAAATGGTATAAAAATTATGGATGGCCTTAAACAACTCTTTAACTACAACTTCACAAGAAGGCCAGTTCCTGTCTCATCCACTAAACTACCTCTCATACAGCAACACAATCTTTGCTTCCTGAAAATTATGCAACTTTGAGTACCTTTCTGTGTTCACATTACATACAGTGGGTTTATAGGCGCATCAGCTACTCTGGCTATTAGCATCCCCATTACATAGAAAGAGTTTAAGTTTGCATTAATGAATGTGCACTGTTCATCAGTTTTGAGGAAGAAGCCTAATGGCCTGCAAGTTTTGAAAACCTGGGGTTAATTAAGGCTGAGTTCTGGTACAATAATTAGAAGTCCCTTTAAGGTTTTCAGAACAGTTTATTAACTGTGTCTGAATGTTCTTCTTCAAGAGACATTTCAATAGAAACCCACCATGTGACAATATTTCTGTCCCCTTACCATAAACACTGAGATATGCATCTGAAGCAATGGCTGCATTTCCCGTGCCATTCCCTGGTCTGCTGGTAAAACCAATCACCAGTGATCGAGTGCCAGCTTCAGACACAGGGAGAGAGTTCCTGAGGAAGTCCCAACACTTGTTGGCTAACAGATTTGTGGGACTGATGATACAGTATGTGGGCTGGGTTTCTATCGGACCTCCCTTAAACACGTAGCCACTCACCTTCTCTCTTGCTGTTCCTTATGACTTTCACCTTCTGTATCTTTGCCAGCTCCAAACCATCTGATGCTGCAAAACATAAAATAAAAGTTTAATGACATGAACACACGACTGTCATATTTATTTAACTGATACCAGACTGTGGATGCAGTGACAAGATTTCGTTAATTAAATTTTCGTAAAACGAGGTGTTAGTGTGGATGTTGCCCTTCTGGGAAGCAACGCTGTGTGGACTTGCCGGTATATCATAATTTCATAGAAACCTTCATCTTGAGCACTGAAGATGGATGCAGTATGTTCCTCTGAAACGTTGGTATCTACCTAGAAGTCACACACACCAGAAGACTACCAATGACATTTTCCGCAGTGAGAACCTCAAATCTCACGAGGTATTAGTGTAATTTAACAATTGTAAATGCAATTACTTGAAGGAAAACATCGTCACGAACAGACAGACGAGTATGACCTCCAGTTTTACTTACGATGGTCGCTGAAATCGTCCAC